CGCGCCCGTCCGGGAGGGGCAGGACCCGCTCTCCCCGCCCCGGCCGCCGGCCCGCCCATCCACCTGCCGCCCCCCACCCCAGACTTGTCCTCAAGGTCTGGCATCGGTGGGAAGGGAAGCGAGGGGCTTCCTGGACGGAGGGACGGGGAGGGGCGGGAGGGAGGCTGCGGCCAGCACGAGAAATCCAGGAGGGACAGCGGGTGTAGCCCAGGAGGGCAGGACAGGAGCAGAAGGGATGGGCCCGTCCAGGGTCACTTTGACATCTCCGTATCCCGTGCTGTGGGTTTTCCAGAGCCAGCACCCAGCGAAGTCCCCACTCCATGGAGGGACACGGTTCACCTCCCCTGGCACGTTTTCACCCTGAGGGGCCCGATGCTTGCCTTCCGCCTGGTTTTTGTTCGGTTTGATTTGGTTTTGAGGGGACGAATTGTGCCCAACTACTTTGCCATCAGCAGAGTAAGTCAGCATTGAATCATCATCTGGGAGTTAGATTTTCATTTGAAATCCTCTTTTTCCTGCTGTCTCAAGTTCTGGCCGTAGCCACCTTTACTAGAAGTTCTGTTTGGTTTTTGCCTCTACCTTTGACCAACTCCTGTCTTCAGAATGTTAAATACTCAATACAGCAACTGTAAATTTCCTTCTAAATTTATTCGTTTACATACATTCTGCCATGTTCAAAAAAAAAAAAGGTTCTAAGGTAGCTTATAAAAATACAAAGAATACAAAATAGAAAAACAAGTCGGAGAGGACACCAAATGAAAAATAAAAGTGAGAAGAATGCTACAAATACATACTATTGACTCTGGATTGGGAGGCTCCACACAAGCCACCCAAATTCTTTCACCTATATTCGACCCTGGGCTCACACTCCATCCTGTTTTTTCCTGCGGTTGTTTTCTCATTTATTTTCCCATAACTTTTCCAAAGTTACCAACACGTGTCTAGACTATGTTCTTGTAAGAATTCAGGCACATTTGACCATGTGGGGAAGACAACCTTGACGTAGATCTGCTCATCAGGGGGTTCAGGGCGTTAACTGATTTGCCCCAAGGAAAGAGGAAATAAATGTCCACAGGCTTAGCCAATGACAATAAACCAGCATCAGAGAAGTGATGTTGAAACCTTGGGACAAGGTGAGAAATACAAGAGCCTGTGAAGCCTTAAAAGAACTGAGGCATTGAGAATAACGAAGTATCAACAGTCCAGTGCCTCAGCTCCAGCAGGTCCTGCCAGGCTGACATCAGGGCCAGCAATATCTGCTGCAGCAACGTAATGGTGGCGACCTTAGAACTAGGTTTCCACAAGCACCAAGGGTTTGGCTGCTGCTGCTGGCTTCAGCCACGAAGAAAGGGAGGACATGCAGAGAAAGGGGAGCAAGATGGTGGACACGGAGGCCAAGAAGAGTGGGTCAGAGCAGCACGTGAGGTACGGTGAGCAGCCTGTCACTATACCGGGCAGGGACTTCAGGGGAGTTATTACCGCAGAGTGATCAAAGGCCAACCTCCTGTTTTGTGACGCTTCTTTTATTTCTAGCATGGAGGAGCCTGGGGCAATCCCATCACTATACCTGCTTCCTGGAGTTCGTTCTATAAATTCCAAATTCGCATCTACCACATTTTCTGTCTCCTTATTAAAACAAAATGATGTCATTTCTTCCAGAATTTGACCCCCATTTATGTTCTAGCTCCACCTTCCATCTCTCATCTCACTCACCCATTGGCCTCTATACACATGGAAACCACCTCTAAAATCCTCAGTGAGAGCCATGCGCGTTTTCAGATTGCTGGCTCTGCCAGGTTTGTCCTTTCTCCCTTCTGTCCTTTCTCATCCTTCTTCCCACACTTCAGTCAGATGGCATCAACCCCTCCACAGTGGTGCCCGTGGAATGTTCTGTCCAGACCCCTGACACTTCAGTGCACTGCTTGTCTGCATGGTTGTTTTCCTCCAGTAGCTTCTTTAGGTCAGAAACTGCATCTGTTTCCTTATAGCCCCATTGCCTAGAATATGAACAGTCATGCAATAGGTGCTTAACAAATATTTGTATGAAGAGTGAATGGAGGCATGGCCAGCTTCTCCTGCAAGCATCCTCTTACAAAGTTGGACTGGCGGGGAAAGCTTGGCCCCCAGATACCATTGAATGTTCTGCTCTGCATTGGTATTGAGGCAAAAATAGAAAAGACCATACATGAATACAAAAAAGAGAAAGTTTTAAATTGTTTTTATTATTTCATTAAGTTAAATGATTGAGTGTGAATTTATTGTCTTTTGTTGTGACCGGCATTGCATCCAAAATGCCCTTAAAAGTACTCGAGAAATATTAAGACTAATATAATCATCTTGAGATTGGGTCAACAAACAGAACATTATTAACATAATTCATAATCAAGAGATCCAGTCTGCTTTGGTTTGAATTTCCCCAGTAACAAAAGACAAAGTAGAAAGCGTTATCTATGTGTACTTTGGAAGCTGCCTGAGTTCCCCAGATCAAAGCCAACTCCATACTTCCATTGCATACAGGAGTCAATTTCCCAATTTGGAAATCAATTACTGTTTTGCTGTTTGTTCTAAATGTGTCAGGAAAGCAAGGAGAAATCATAAATCCATTAAAAACTCAGGGAACACGGCAGAGTGGAAAATGAAATCAGTAATAAGGAATTTCAAAATTAGTTTTTTAAATCTTGTTATTTTTATAAAAATAAAACTTGCTGCTTATTTAAAGAAAAAACGTCAGGAAATGCAGAAAAGTATGAATAAGAAAGTAAAGTTTGAAAATCACCTGAAATTCTACCATACAAAAATAACCCTGAGTGTATTCTGGGAACATCATTCCAGAACCCAGTCCCATTAAGGCGTTGGAGGAACAGTTTGTTGGGCAAGAATTTGCAAAGAAACAGGTGAATTAATTTTGTAAGTCACCACTTGAAATAAACAGTGACTCTAAACATGCCAGTTACAATCGCATTTGTTTTGGCTTCTTCTCTCCATATGTATCCTTTGGATACAGGAGGAGCCAAAAGAAACAGAATAGACAAAACTAGATATTCAGTAAGGTCTTACTTAAGTTCAGGACATTTACCCAAATTACTCATTCTTAAAATGAATCATTTTCTCATAATTTTCAACCAGGAATTTAAGTGTAATATTTATTTTGATTCTTCACCCATCCTGATCCACAGCCTGCGATCAGTCTGTGTGACTGCACCCATACTGAGCTTCCTCATCTCCAAACTTTCTGTTGCTAAGATTTATTTATATTTCTACATTAGTCAACTAAAAAGGGCTGGGGGAAAGGGTAAGGAAAAAAGAAAGCCCAAGGGATGGTAGTAAGCCAATGAAAAGTTGCTTGGTATGAATTAGGATGGTCTGAAATAGTTTATTTCCTCTTGAAAGTATCATATTTTTCCTGTCTACTTGTACCTAAAGGTGCAACAATAATACTAAATATTTATAAAGTTCCCGTCTTCTAGGCAGCTCAAAGAAAAATATTTATATAAGTGATCTCAGCAGTTCTCCAACATTCAAATAGGTAAGCTAAAGCATTTTCTCACTTTAGTCAGGAAGCCACTTTTGTGACTGGTTCGAGTTCATACTATATGAGTCAGTGGCAGAAAAGTCAAAAATAGAACTTTGGGGTATTTTGGGTTTTTTTTAAAACTACATAATTTTTCTAGCTCTCATCTCATCTCCAATACAAAATAATAATTTTTAAAACCACCAGGTCATCACCATGAAACATTCTTTCAAGGGGGCTGATATTTTTCACATGAACATGAGGCTGTGATTCACTATTATTAGCTCAACATCATACTCCTCATTTTAACAACAGATGATATTATTGATAATGATGGTGTGGATTGAGAAGGTAAGGATATGGTGCATTTACTTTTATTATTGGGAAGCCGAGATATACTTAACTGAGTTCTTGAGGTTACTTTGAGTGTCAGTTGACACGGAAAATCACTGTCTCTTCCTTGTGAAAATCACATCAAGCAAACCACTTTCTTTGTGCAAAACCTACACTTTAGTATTATCTATTAACTAGGCTCTGAAATAAAATGGTTTCAACTAAAAATGTCTGTTAAAAAAAAAAAAGCAAAAAAGCAAGCAATGCTCTTTTTATCATGAGTGGCCATGCGTTAGAATCTATCTTTACAGGGAAACATGATGTGTGTCAATAATGTGGAAGGAAACAAATTGATTTACACTAAAGTACTCAGCCTATATTATTGTAAAGCCATGTTTAAAAAGTTGTTTAGGGGGGTTGATGAGAGCAATGGGTCCTGGAATTTTCTCCTTATCTGAGTGATCTTTAGCATAAGAAAAGTACCTATGTCCTCACATTTTGGTAAATCTCACTTCTAGGGGGATCGGGTAACTGAAGCTGTCAGTGACATTGGAGGAGAAATGGGGGGGTGATGAAATGTGCCGAGTTAGTCGCAGGAGTATCAGCCTTGCGAAGAATCTTGAAGACTCTAGGCCATAGCTCCATCCTGGAGATGAGAAATCTGAGTCCCACAGAGAAGTGAACCATTCGCAGTTACAATTTTTTTTTTTTATGGATATAAGCAGGAAGGTTGGTTGCCTGATACAATTAACAATGTTTGGCTCCTCCACATGCTCGCCTTAACAGTTATTCTTTTGGATGTCTCCAGTTCACCATTGTTATCAATTTCACCCAGTTTTAGCTTCCATAAACAAGTTGGGAGAAAATAGAGAAGAAGCAGGCACTGGGAAAATGGTGATATTCTCCCCAACCTAGGACTCCCTAGAAATCACCCTTTGGGCTAAGCAGTAGATTTGGC